CATTGCTAACCCAAGACCCCTGTGCTCCATGAACTGTGTGGTCTCCTTTAATCACAAAACCTTCTCTGCAGTTGCCTTGGTGGATTCTGGGTGCGAACGCAACATACTGGACCAGGTTGTGGTGCAACAACTGGAGATTCCCACAGTTCTTTCTACGCCCCTCCGTGCGTCCTCCCTGGACGGTCGTTCCCTGACTACCATCACCCACCAGACGGTTCCCATAAACCTACTGGTATCCGGTAACCACCATGAGGTAATCTCCTTCTTTGTGTTTCCATCCCCTCAGTCACCTGTTGTCCTGGGCCATGAGTGATTAACCACACATAATCCACAAATTGATTGGAGAACAGGGAGTATCTGTAACTGGAGCAGTTTTTGTTTGTCCCACTGTTTATCATCCGCCTCTATCCCTATACTCAACCCCAAGGCCAAGACCCCCGAGTCTCCTGACCTGTCCGGAGTACCTCCTGAATACCACTACCTCCGGCAGGTCTTCAGCAAGGACCACGCCTCGACGTTACCACCCCACAGACCCTTCGACATGCGCATCGATCTCATCCCAGATTCCAAACTACCCACCAGCAGGTTGTATAACTTGTCTAGACCAGAACATGAAGCCACGACTCAATACATTTCGGAATCCCTTGCTGCGGGCATAAGACCTTCCACTTCACCCCTGGGAGCGGAATTATTTTTTGTGTCCAAGAAGGATGGATCTCTACGTCCTTGCATTGACTACCGGGAATTAAACCACATAACCATCAAAAACAAGTACCCACTTCCCTTGCTCTCATCCACATTCGACCCAGTCAATGATGCCTCCATATTTACTAAACTCGACCTCCAAAATGCTTATCATCTAGTCCGAATCCGAGAGGGAGACAAATGGAAGACCGCCTTTAAGACCCCTCTCGGGTATTTTGAAAATCTTGGTCATGCCTCTTGGTCTAACCAATGCTCCCGCGGTCTTTCAGTCCCTGATTAACTCAGTTCTCAGCGATTACCTCAACAAATTTGTCACTGTTTATCTGGATGACATTCTCATCTTTTCCAGATCTCCCACGGAACACCGCCATCATGTCCAAGCAGTCCTCCAACGCCTCTTAGAGAATCGTCTTTTTGTCAAGGCAGAGAAGTGTGAATTTCACTCCTCGTCCGTCAAGTTTCTCGGCTTTGTTCTGGAGAGCGGAAAGTTGAAGGCAGATCCGGACAAGATCAGAGCTGTGGAGGAATGGCCCTCACCCACGACCAGAAAACAGCTGCAACGGTTCTTGGGCTTTGCCAATTTCTACCGCAGATTCATTAAGGACTACAGTACCATAGCCACCCCTCTCACACAACTCACCTCCATTAACAAGTCTTTTTCCTGGACTCCTGAGGCGGAAGAGGCCTTCCTGACATTGAAGAAGCATTTCACCCAGGCACCCATCCTCACCCGACCAGATCATCTCCTGCAATTCAGCCTGGAGGTGGATGCGTCTGACACCGGAGCAGGTGCTGTATTATCCCAGGTCTCCCCAGTCGATAAGACCCTGCATCCGTGTGCTTTCTTCTCTCGTCATCTGTCCCCAGCCGAGAAGAACTATGACGTAGGAGACCGGGAACTGCTGGCCATAAAACTGGCGCTGGAGGAGTGGCGGCACTGGCTTGAGGGGGCGGAACATCCCATCCTGATTTTGACGGATCATAAGAATCTAGCGTACCTGAGGGAGTCCAAGAGGCTTAATCCCCACCAGTCCCGCTGGTCTCTGTTCTTTTCCCGCTTTAACTAACTCATTTCTTAAAGACCCGGAACCAAGAACACCAAACCTGACGCCCTATCACGCCTATACGCCCCGGACAGGGAGGTTGAGTCCACCACTATCCTTCCTCCATCCTGTATCCTTGGGTCTATTACTTGGGACATCTCCACCAAGGTTCTAGAGGCCCAGCAGACAGACCCTGACCCAGGTACGGGCCCCCCTAACTGAACCTATGTTCCCTCCTCTGTTCGCAGTGCAGTAATTAAGTGGGCCCACACCTCCAGGTTTTCTATCCACCCTGGCGTGGGTAGAACTCTTGCCCTCATCCGTCGGACGTTTTGGTGGCCGTCTTCTACAGGGACACTAAGGAATTCATAGGCGCATGCCAGGTTTGTGCCCGAAACAAGTCGAGCAACCAGTCACCTCATGGTCTCCTCTGCCCCCTGCCTATTCCATCACGCCCCTGGTCCCACATGGCATTGGACTTTGTTACCGGGTTACCCATCTCCAGGGGTTTTAATACCATACTCACCATTGTTGACCGGTTCTCCAAATCCTGTCATCTTGTCCCTCTTAAACACCTCCCAACCTCTGCAGAGACCGCCAACCTCCTCATCTCTCAGGTTTTCCGTCTACATGGGATCCCCTTGGAGATTCTCTCGGACAAGGGTCCTCAATTCCTGTCTCGAGTATGGAAGGAGTTTGCCGCCCATCTGGGGGCTCGACCTGCTCTGAGTTCTGGCTTCCACCCACAAACCAACGGCCAGTGCGAGCGGATGAACCAGGAGCTGGAGGCCATGCTGAAATGTGTCTGCTCCAATAACCCGTCTGGATGGAGCGACCAATTGGCATGGATTGAGTATGCACACAACTCTCACGTCTCCTCCACCACAGGTCAGTCCCCATTCGAGATCTCTCTGGGTTATCAGCCACCTCTGTTCCCCTCTGACTCCGATTCCCCGGCTTCAGTTCCCCAGTTCATCCGTCGCGTTCGGCGCACCTGGAACCAGGCCAGAGCCGCTCTCCAACGGACCGCCGACCGCAACCGCCGGCTGGCTGACCGGCGCCGCCGTCCGGCCCCCGCCTACGCTCCTGGCCAGCAGGTATGGTTGTCAACCCATGACATTAAACTTAAAGGTGCCAATAGGAAGCTCTACCCCCGGTTCATCGGTCCCTACACCATCACTGAAGTCCTCAGTCCTGTTTCTGTGCGCCTGTCCCTGCCCTCGTCCATGAGGGTCCACCCGGTCTTCCATGTCTCCTTGGTCAAGCCCTTTGTGTCCAGTCCTCTGTGCCCTCCTGCTGAGCCTCCTCCTCCTGTCCGGCTCTCTGACGGCAGTCTCGGCTACCGGGTCCGGCGCATCCTGGATGTTCGCCCCCGGGGTCGCGATCGTCAATACCTTGTGGATTGGGAGGGATACGGTCCGGAGCATCGTCAGTGGGTTCCTGCTTCGTGGATTGATGACATCTCTCTCATCAGGGATTTTGAGTCCTCCTCCTCGGCTGGGCCACCGGGTGGTGTCCCTTGAGGGGGGGGGGGGGGGGGGGGGGGGGGAGGGGGGTATTGTCATGGTTCTGCCTTCTCTCTGCTTCTGCTGCTATTTTCCCTTCATTGTTTGCAGGTGAGCATGTTGGGGAGCAGCAGCAGCAGCTGCAGCCAATTACCATCAGCCTGGCCAGAGGATTTAAGGAGCGGTGCTGCCACACCTCAGCGCCGGTTGATACTCTACTCTTGGGTAAATCTAGCCACGTACTTATCTGTGCCTTGACTTTAAGACTTGTTTACCTGAACTAACCCAGCTCTGCATTCTTGTCTGTACCAGCCCTGGATTCCCTCCACCTGCCTGAGGTGTGATTTTATCACAGCGTCGTTCAGCTTCCCTGGCCTCCTGCTCTCCACCGCTTACCTGCCTTCCTGGATCCAGCATCTCCTCCAGCGACCATCTCCTCCCTGCACCAACCTGACTTGCCTCTCCCTCCTGCCCCTCGTCCTGCTCAACTCAGTAAGCCCGTTCCCCTCATGATTATTCATCTCCTGGTTCTCAGTTTCTAATCACTCTCACCGTTCTTAGAGTCGGAGTTGCCTCGTTTCCTGTCCTGTTTGGATCAGCACCCTCAGTTTTCGCTTTGTTTTTTCTTTATAAAATAAAGATTTTATTATCATCTCTTACCTTATCCCTGAGTGATTCTTCATGTGGGTTAAGAAATTACCACCCATCATGACAACAAGCACTTCAAATTTTAGGGTTCGGAGAGTCGTTTATTAGTGTTATTGAAATGCTTTATAAAGATATAAACAACTCAATTATTTTATATCCACAGATGTCTGGGAGGTTTCTAACATTAAGAGGTGTACGACAGGGCTGCCCAATTTCTTTGTTTCTGATTGCCGCTGAACTTTTGTTTTTAAATATTTCACACAATCCAAATATTCATGGCTTAGAAATTTTTAATAAAGAAGTTAAGATGTCCCAATTGGCAGATGACAGCCTTGTTTCTTAGAGATAAATCACAGATACCAAATGCTCTACATGCAATACAGGAATTTTCAGAAGCTTCAGGACTGAAGCTAAATGTTAAAAGTGAAATTTTATATGAAACCAAGACCAATATATGTTCAATATTCCCATCAAACAAACTGTTAGATATTTAGGAATTCACATAATAAAAGACAAAATGATGAGACATTAAATCTGCAATCAAGGATTAAAAAAAACTCTTGATTCTTAATATGTGGCTGCAAAGGGATCTCTCTATTTTTGGCAGGGTGTTAACAAAAGCGGAAGGCATATCAAGGTTAGTATATCCCGCTCTCTCCCTTGTTAATGATGCAACTTGTAAAGAAATTAACAGTTTATTTGTAAACTTTGTCTGGAAGAACAGGTATCATCTAAAAAAAAGACATACTCTATCTGGAAAGAGCAAGGGGGGCTTAGAACTCTTAAATTTTTTCCACTTAAACAACACCTTCAAAGTCAAATGGATTAAAAAATGTCTAGAAATGCCAGAATCTTTATGGAATTTTATTCCACACGACATATTTAAAATGGTAAGGGGTTTAAATTTTGTTACGTTGCAACTTTATTATTTCTAAATTACCAGTGAAACTTTCAATGTTTCACCAGCAGGCTTTACTTGCGTGGAAATTATGCCATACACATAATTTCTCCCCACACAAAGAAATATTATGGAATAATGGTAATATTATTACCATAAACAACAAAAGCTTACACAAAATGAATTGGGTTGAGAAAGGCATCATTTTTGCAGCAGATTTATTTGATAATGGAAGCCTTTATAGCTATGAACTTTTTGAAAACTAAGGATTTTCCAGTGAAATACAGAGAATTTGCCTCGGTCATGAGAGCCATTTCCCCAGGCATAGTTGTGTTAATGAGACCACACTCTGTTTATCAGATTTAGTTTGCAGATGTCTTCTCTAAAAGTTGGGGGTATTGATTTATTAGACAAGAAATGTTCAAATCAGCATATAAGGAAGGTTTTATGTTGTTCTGATACAGTGGCACCCAAAGGAATTTTTTTCATGGAACACAGTTTGATATAAATTGGAAGAAAGCATGGATGGTTCACTTTCAATAAATTGGAAGAAAGCATGGATGGTTCACTTTCAATACTGTATTTCAAACAAGATAAGGGAACTTAATTTCAAAATTTTACACAATATTTATCCATGTAACAAAAAATTATCATTGTTCAAGGATCTGGATGAGAAATGTACCTTTTGTCATATGTTTCAGACTATCATACACTTATTTTATAATTGTCTCTCATCTGGATTTTGGAAAGATATGGAAAATTTTATTAAGATTAAATCCAAACACACTATCCAAATCAGATCTAAGGATGTTATTATCAAGTTTGAATGTAATGATAAAAGGCTAAGTTTTATAATTAATCTAATGCTTCTTTTAGGGAAATGTCATATACATAAAGCGAGGGTCTCCAAATTTCTCCCTAACTTTTGCGTTTTCTTAAATGACTTCCATTCATATGTTAAAACCATAAAGTTAATTGTAAATAAGAAGGCAGAACTCACTTTAATAAGTCTTCGATGTTTATTTCTGATTGACCCTGTATAACAAAAACAATAAAAAAAGTACCTTTTGGAAGGTTGTATTATCTGTTATGTGCCTCTTGTCGATTTAATGAGCTGATGTCTGTTTGTGTGTATATTTGATGTATGTTTGTTAGTGTGACTATGTATTTGTGACAAAAACAAATAAAGTTTGTTAAAAAAATAAAATAAAAAAACATTACCAACTCCAAATGGCAGCAAGAATCAGCCTGCAATTCATTATCGTTGATGCTGTGGAGTTAACAAGCCTCTTACAAAGCTGTTTTTTTTTCTGTCCCTCACTGCTGTGACACACACACACACACACATTCTGCCAGACCCAGCAAAGCAGGATGCAATATGAAAGTCAGTCTCCATAAGCAAGACTACTTGGGCTGCTTTTGTTTAATAATGGACACTGCGGACTTCTCTGCTCTTTTGCCCCGCCTGTGTATGCTTGTGACATCACAGAACACCCGTGTCCTAAATCACGTGCGCATGAGCTCAATCCCATTCACATTCCTAAGGCAAGCTACAAATGGCTAATCTACAAAATGTGATGTTGTCAGCTAATTACTTTTCAGAAGGGTTTTTCTAACAAGAAATGTGGGTGAAATAAGTCTCCACCCATGCCTTGAGGACTTTAAGGCATCTATGATATGTTGCCAAACATATTTTAATGAATACAATCTCAAGTGTGAATTTTCAAATCAGAAGGTAAAGAAAATGCCTTAATGAATCTCATAGAAGATTAAATCACTTCTCACCTGTGTGAGTTCTCATGTGTGTAGTTAATTCACTACTGGTTCTAAAACATTTACCACAACTTTTACATGAATATGGCTTCTCACCTGTGTGAGTTCTCATGTGTGTAGTCAAGTGATCACTTTTAGTAAAACATTTACCACAAGTTTTACATGGATAAGGCTTCTGACCTGTGTGAGTTCTCATGTGTGTAGTTAATTCACCACTGGTTCTAAAACATTTACCACAACTTTTACATGAATATGGCTTCTCACCTGTGTGAGTTCTCATGTGTGTAGTCAAGTGATCACTTTTAGTAAAACATTTACCACAAGTTTTACATGGATATGGCTTCTCACCAGTGTGAGTTCTCATGTGTGTAGTTAATTCACCACTGGTTCTGAAACATTTACCACAAGTTTTACATGGATATGGCTTCTCACCTGTGTGAGTTCTCATGTGTGTAGTCAAGTGATCACTTTTAGTAAAACATTTACCACAAGTTTTACATGGATATGGCTTCTCACCTGTGTGAGTTCTCATGTGTGTAGTCAAGTGATCACTTTTAGTAAAACATTTACCACAAGTTTTACATGGATATGGCTTCTCACCTGTGTGAGTTCTCATGTGTGTAGTCAAGTGATCACTTTTAGTAAAACATTTACCACAAGTTTTACATGGATATGGCTTCTCACCTGTGTGAGTTCTCATGTGTGTAGTTAATTGACTACTGGTTCTAAAACATTTACCACAAGTTTTACATGAATATGGCTTCTCACCTGTGTGAGTTCTCATGTGTGTAGTCAAGTGATCACTTTTAGTAAAACATTTACCACAAGTTTTACATGGATATGGCTTCTGACCTGTGTGAGTTCTAATGTGTGTAGTTAATTCACCACTGGTTCTAAAACATTTACCACAAGTTTTACATGAATATGGCTTCTCACCTGTGTGAGCTCTCATGTGTTTAGTTAATTCACTACTGGTTCTAAAACATTTACAAGTTTTACATGGATATGGCTTCTCACCTGTGTGAGTTCTCATGTGTGTAGTTAATTGACTACTGTTTCTAAAACATTTACCACAAGTTTTACATGAATATGGCTTCTCACCTGTGTGAATTCTCATGTGTGTAGTCAAGTGATGACTTTCAGTAAAACATTTACCACAAGTTTTACATGAATATGGCTTCTCACCTGTGTGAGCTCTCATGTGTGTAGTTAATTCACTACTGGTTCTAAAACATTTACCACAAGTTTTACATGGATAAGGCTTCTCACCTGTGTGAGTTCTCATGTGAATATTTAAATCAGATTTGTGACTGAAAGATTTTCCACATAGCTTACAATTAAATGGTCTCTCACCACTGTGAGCCCCTTTGTGCTTTTTTTGTCTTTCACCACCTACACTGTCTCGGTGATCTTTGCTTCGCTGACGCCTTTTATTCAGTTTCAGTTCTTCATTGCCGTTTGATTCAGAGTTTTCTTTCCTGCATCCACCCTGATCTTGGTTCTCAGGATCTGTAGAACTCTGACACAATGGCTGGTTCCTGTTTGGTTCTGGTTCATGACAGTCTGTTTCTTCAGACAGAGAAGTATCCGTGGTAAGATTTTCCTGGTTCAGGAAGGGCTGTCCTTCATGTTGGCAAAGTTTTAGCTGTTCTGGTTCTTCCTGGTCTGAACAGGACATCGACTCCTGGTTAAAGAGCTGCTGGGCAGTCAAATCCTTCTCCTTTTCCCAGACATGATGCTGTGGAAGATCTAGACAGGATAAGAGAAAAAACAAAATGTTGATTAATTTGACAATAAAAAAATTTTTTTTAATCATCTAATGCATCTAAATATATTTGGGGAAATTAACGAGCTCTCAGATTAATTTTTATTTTGTGCAAGTAAAAACTAAACACTCAAAACATTTGTTTGTGGTGACAGACAACCTCGCTTCAAAGGAAAAACAAACAGCAGCTTAATAATCGTCTTAGTTCTTTACTGAAGTTTACAATGAGCGGAGTGGGAGCTGGCCATCTGTTTGGGGTCTGGGGTGATGAGTTGCTTTGCTCCGAGTTGGGTGGGGTGCCTGCTCATCATCACCTCAGCAGAACGGGGCTGATTCTGGCCATGGGATGGTTGTACCGTCTGTGCAGCAGTTCCAGGACCAGAGTGAATAGGGAGCGTGAGTGGGTGTCTAGCGTTCATTTTTGTAAGTCTCCGGTTGTTTGTGTATGTGTGAGCATGAGGGACGGAGTGTGTGACTGTGTTTGTGTATGACTGTTAGAGAAAAAGAGAGGTTAAGTTGTCTGGTTGCCATGGGTGCGTAGATGGTATGTTTTTCTTATTTCTGTAAACAGCACTCTAAATGCTTCTTTGTTATCTCAGAATTTGGTATCTCAGAAAAGGATGCTCCAAAAATTCTCAACTCTTAAGGTGCTCGCTCGGGCCATGAGTCGGGGGTGAGACAAATGTTTGTGCAACTTTGTAACTATGCCCTTGTGTGAATAAAACTATGCTCTGAAGCTGAAAGATTTGGAGTCAGCTTGGAAACTCACACATGCAACTGCGTGTTCAGTCTGGCTCCTCTTTCTGCAGAAAGTGTAATCTGAAATACTCAACCGAATTTCCAGTCTGAGTTCTTTGGTCGATGTTAGTAAGCAAATTTACCTAAACAATGACTATGTATGTAAGGTGGGGTTTTGGACTCCTCCCTTCTCTTGGGTATTCTTGTGCTGCTACACATCTTCGCCTGCCCTCCCCCTGCCACATTTGCTGCTGAGTGTGGAGCCTCGGTCTGCCTGCGTGTTCGTGGCTCCCAGTGTCAGGGGCCTTAAGATTTTTGGCATCTGTCTTTGCTCCCAGTGGCTGCCTGGGCTAAGATGGGTCACCGGCGGGGTTGGTTTGCACCTAGGTCCCGGGGCGCTTGGTCCTAGGCTCAGTCGACTTAAGAGGTGGGGGGCTCTGGGCGGGCCTGGGGGCTTGCCGTTGTTATCTCCTGGGACTCTGTAGGCTGCTGCTTGTGACCCCCGGGGCAGTCCTCTGCATCCCTTGAGCAGGGTTGGGGTTCTCTGGTGACCGTCTCCCTGGGGTCCCTGCACGCTGGGGCAGCTCCTGGATCTCTGGGGCTTGGAGCTCCCTCCATCTTCCGCACATCTTTGGGGGCAGAACTGTGGCCCCTCACACTCACTATTGGACACTCTTATACAGAAATCTTACACATACAAGTGCGTGTACGCAAACAGGTGCTCACATGTTCCAAGCCATCTTCCAAGATGGCGGCGCACACGGCTGCAGCGGCTTACGGCTCTCCGGCTCAGTACTCCCTTTTTTTGTTTAGCTTGCTTAGTTTGTATGTCTTTCTTATTTTTTTCTGCACCATCGGCTCTACTTTCAAAGTTTTCTACACCCGCCAGAGCTTCATAGACATTGGTGATAAGCATCAAACATCTGTTTCACTGGACTTCCTTCGCACGCACAACATCCCAGATCATATGGCGAGACCACCGGGCTCCCCGTGGATTGTTATCGGGACTAAGCGGAGGCGCAGACGGAGGGAAAGGAAGCAAAAGTGGGGCTGCAGGTCCGGCATCATGCTGAGGCTAAAAAACAAACCACAAAAGTCACCTCTGCCAAGCCTCTATCTCTCCAACGCTAGATCCCTCGTGCAAAAAAACGGACTACCTGGAATTACAACTAGTGGGAAATCGCTATGTTCGTGACTGCTGTGCCTTGATTATTATGGAAACCTGGCTTCACCCGGGAATACCCGATGCTAGCGTTCAGCTAGCAGGCTGCACTCCGCTTCGCTGGGACAGGACAAAGGACTCCCGTAAGAGCAGAGGGGGAGGGCTCTGTATTTAAGTGCATGAACGCTGGTGTAAGAACGGGACAATTATAAACAGTCACTGCTCCCCGAACCTCGAGTACATGTCGGTGAGATGCCGGCCTTTTTTTCTACCGAGAGAGCTAAGAGTAGTGATCATCATGGCTGTGTACATCCCACCCGATGCCAACCTAAACACGGCGCTCTCTATCCTGCTGAACACCATTAATGAACAGCAGCGGGCCCACCCAGATGGGGTTCACATTATTGCAGGTGATTTTAACAAGGCCAACATAAAGACTGTACTCCCAAAGTTCTATCAGCATGTCAAATGTCCCACCAGAGGAGAAAACACTCTAGATCATGTTTACTCCAACATCAAACATGCATATAGAGCCATACCCCTCCCCCACTTCGGTCAGTCCGACCATCTCTCTCTCCTGCTCTCCCCAGCCTACACCCCCCTCAGGCGCAGTGCCAGGCCCACCACAAGGACTGTTACAACCTGGCCAGAAAATGCTCTCAACAAATTACAAGACTGCTTCACAGAGACAGACTGGGACATATTTGAACACCAGGACCTAGAAACTTTCACAGGATTAGTACTGGACTACATCAAGTTCTGTACTGCAAATGTGACAGTGGACAAAAGCATTTGGGTTTTTCCAAATCAAAAACCCTGGATGACCAGCGAGGTCCGCTCACTCCTCAAAGCCCGTGATGCCGCCTTCAGGTCAGGTGACAGAGCTCTGTACAGGGCTGCTCGAGCTAACCTGAAAAGGGGGATAACAAAAGCCAAGTCAGACCTCAAAAGGAATATCGAGTCCCACCTGTCCAGCAACAACACACGAGAGGTATGGCAGGGAATGCGAGACATCACCAACCACAGAAGCAGCACTGCAAAAACTGAAAACCTGAGTGTGCAGCTGGCAGAGGAAATAAACAGCTTCTTTGCCCGCTTTGAAACACCACAGCGGCAACACTCATCTGCTTCAGCCCTGCTACCATCCTCATCCTCACCTGGTTCTTACACCGCTCCACTCACTGTAACGGAGCACGATGTTAGACGTGTGCTCCTAGCAGTGAACCCCAGGAAGGCGGCCGGTCCAGACGGAGTGCCTGGCAAAGTACTAAGAGCATGCGCACACTAGCTCAGCCTCATCTTCACCAGACTCTTCAACCTTTCACTGGATCAGGCAACCATCCTGTCCTGTCTAAAATCAGCCACAATCATCCCAGTACCGAAGAAGTCTCCCATCTCCAGCTTAAATGATTACCGCCCTGTGGCCCTCACACTGGTAATCATGAAATGCTTTGAGAGACTACTCCTTCAGCACATAAAGGATCACCTCCCCCCAGAATTCGACCCCCACCAGTTTGCATACCGTGCAAATAGATCGACAGAAGACGCCATTGCCACAGCCCTCCATGCTGTGCTGAGTCACCTAGAGCAGCGGCAGAGCTACGTCCGAATGCTCTTTGTGGACTACAGCTCAGCCTTTAATACAATCATCCCGGACATCCTCATCAGCAAACTGGTCACTCTTGGCCTCCCTCCTCTCACATGTGCACGGATAAAGGATTTCCTCACAAACCGGCCCCAGACTGTGAGCCTCGGCCCTCATCTCTCCTCCACTCGCACACTGAGCACCGGCTTCCCAAAGGGCTGTGTGCTGAGCCCCCTCCTGTATTCTCTGTACACCCACGACTGCAGTCCGACCCACAATAACACTCTCATCATCAAGTTTGCTGATGACACCACGGTAGTCGGACTCATTTCCAAGGGAGACGAGGCAGAGTACAGAGAGGAAGTCCTGAAGTTGGCAGCATGGTGTTCAGAAAACAACCTGTCCCAGAACACCAAGAAAACAAAAGAGCTTATTGTCGACTTCAGGAGACACAGCACCGACTTGGCCCCCTCTACATCAACGGGGAGTGTGTGGAGAGGGTCCACACCTTCCAGTTCCTTGGTGTCTTCATCTCTGCTGACATCTCCTGGGCGAAAAACATCTCAGCGGTCATAAAGAAGGCCCAACAGCGGCTGCACTTCCTGAGAGTCCTCAGGAAGTACAAACTGAACTCCAACCTGCTGCTGACCTTCTAAAGCTCGTCCATTGAGAGCCTGCTAACCTACTGTATCACAGTATGGTACGGCAGCTGCACCAAGGCGGATAGAGTGAGGCTTCAGAGTGTGGTAAAGACAGCACAGAAGATCATCGGTTGTCCTCTCCCCTCCATGATGGACATTCATTCCTCCCGCTGTCTCAGTAGGGCAGCAAACATCATCAAGGACAGCTCCCACCCTGGCGTCAACATGTTCAGACTGCTTTCCTCAGGGAAGCGCTACAGGTGCATTAATACAAAAACCCACAGACTCAAAAAAAGTTTCTTCTCCAAAGCAATAACCACCCTGAACTCACACATGCACCGATAACACAGCCCCCCCACTTCCCACTTCCTCCATTGACCACCACTATCTATTTATACCACATTTATGTGCAATAATTGTATATACACAACATTGTCCATACGTACATAGCGCTGCAGAACTGTCAAACCCCCCCCCCCCCCCCCCCCAAGTATTTTTTTACACCGAGTAGGAGATGCTCTGTATCTCACTTTACACCTGTATAGTGACAATAAAGGCATTCTATTCTATTCTATGTTGCTCTCATTAAGTATGGACTCAAGTATTCTCAACACGCGTCTTTAAATTTAAATTTTAAATGGAAATTCACTGAGATTTATTATTGTGCGACTGTTCAGCAAAACAATGTTGACTTTATATTTCCTCATGAGGTTGACGCAATGATATTTTACTCTTGTATGTTGTGTGCCCCTTTTTTTGTTTGTCTTCCTCTTTCTGCAGGTCTAGAAGCAGATTTTTGTCCATCATTGACTGTTTTTGTTAACCCATCCCTCTCCCTTTTCTCTCTTCCTTTCTTTT